CATTGCGAAGATTATAAAACAAAGGCTTTACAAAACTAGCCCCTTTTCTCCTTGATGACTATGTAATTGTTCAAAATCCTAAACAAGGCATCAACAATGTGCAAAATGCAAGAAATTTGAACCCCTTATACCAAAAGACTCAACCTTTAACTAAGGATACACAAAAAAGAGATAAAATCAAAAACCAATAAAGACTCAAACTTTCTTATTGTCTTTCAGAAACACAAACAGAGCATTACCTAAACTGTGAAATAGGAAATGCCCAATTTGAAATTGATCCAAATCACCTTAGAAATGCTAAGCTAGAAGATCAAGAAGCTGAATAAATCTTCAAAGGTTCAATCTTTTTTGGGGAATTTTCAAGAATGTGAGAAGTGAGAATAATGGGGGGCACTGGGGCTAACGTTTTTCAACAATAGAGTGGATTCTTTACCAGTAGAAAGAATCAAAAGGCAAAATGGTCAATGAAGAAAAGCTTATATAATTACTTACATGGCATGGAAGGATTTTTTTTATTTTTTTCTTTAATATTATTATTATCCTCCCTGCATTTCCCGGAATTGGATATCGGAAAATTCAAAGTTGTATCCGGTTTATTCGCCGGCTTTTTGAAGTTTTCCGGTAGAAATGTCGATGAGGGAGAAAGAGAAGGTGAAGAGTGGAATAAGCGGAATTGTAGCCGTTGCCTTAGCAATTTGCTTTTGACTATATGACTAATAAAAGCAATTTAGAAGCATAGCTTCATTTCAATTTATAACTTTATTCAATGTTTAGCTTTATTTCAACATAGTATAATATTACTTCAACATTTATCCACGTGTCAGTGTCACTCAAACTTTGGCTAAAAAATAGATTCGAAGGATTTTTTTTTCCAGGTAAACTTATGTATGAATGAACTAAGAAGATTTTATCCCAATCATTTTCTTAATTAAATACCTTGAAATTTTTTTAACTTAAAAAATGAACCCAAATAAAGCGTAATGGACATAAAAATTGATATTGTTGCCATAATTAGTTAGAATTGAGATTAGTTGGTTTATTAATTGAGATAAAAAATAATTATTTTTTATGACTGTGGTGTTCGTGTCATTTGCTATCATCTTGAATTTGCTACCTCCTACCAACACAGATATTGAGTAATTTTATCCACTAAAACTTAAGCAGATTAAAAAAAAATTACATACATATTTTTAGTTTTGTTGGGATTTGAATCGAGATATTATGATTTCTCACTCACTTTATTGATCACAGTTAGTGTAATTTGATTGGGTTGAATTGTTGTTATTTACCTTCTCTTTACGGTTATTAAGTCATATTATTATAAAGAATGTCAAAGTTGGTTTTAATATAATCTGGTACAAAAAAATATCTAAATTATTATTTTTTGAAATTAAATACTATATATTGTAGTCTATCTTCTAGTATATCTTTGGGCTACAATTGATAAGTCCTTCTCTAGGAAAATTGTTTCACTTCTTTGACAAAATAAAAATTATAGTCATTCCTTATACTCATCATTTGTGCAAAATCAAAATTTAATATATTTCTGGAAATTTTTATAATAGAAGCATGTTGATTGAACTTTTTATTTTAAATTCAGTTTATTGTGCACAAAATAAAATAAAAAAATAAAAAGAAAAGTACCAAATAGTGGAGTGACATAGTAAACACCGTGGCACCAGGAATAGGTTCCAAATTAGCATTACATATCCAGAAAATCTCTCTTGAAAATTAGTAACATTTACTGCTAATTCCTGTCTTCAAGAAGAAATGCTTTCCTTGAAGATTTTTCACCTTTTACTCTCCTTTCAATTGCTACAGCAAAAGTAAAACAGTAAAAACTGGGTAATTTGTGAAAGCATTTTTTGTTTTGTTTTTGGGACACCATATTTGTTCCTTATTTGCATTATTATTATTATTATTATTATTATTATTATTATTATTATTATTATTATTATTATTATTATTATTATTATTATTATTATTCTCGTATTACCTTATTCTTCAATTTCTATTACTACTTGTTGTTTTCTTTGCTTCGCTTATCTTATTGCTTTGTTATTTTGGTGTTGTAACTATTCTTGTCTTTATTATTTTTAATATGGCTTCTTCACTATTATTTTTCTTTGTCAAACATGCTTTGAAATGCTTGTCTTGAGCCTAAAGTCTATAAGAAACAACTTCTCTATCTCCACAAGGTAGATGTAAAGTCTGCGTATGCACTACGCTTCCTAGACCTCATATGTGAGAATATACTGGTATAATGTCGTCGTCGTCGTTGTTGTATTAATCACCTATAACCAATTTACATCATTTTCTTTTAATATTGAATTCTTGCAACTCTAAGCTACAAGAAGCCATAACTAGAAGTAGAAATATCTTTAATTTAAAGGTTCAACCAAACAATAAATTGATTAGATCTGAAGTACAGTCAAAATGTACAATAATTTTAATAAAGTACTTTGAATGTATTTATCAGATATCCAACAGGGAAAAGAATAGTACTACTCGTATAATTAAAGTTCTGAATTATGGTTTAGTTTACGTTTAACTTAATGATGTACCCACGGTTTTTTGTCTCCTTTCTTTAGCAAACATTGAATCAGTGTGTTGAAATTTGCAATCTACAAGGAGATTTCTTTGTATAATAATAACAAAAAAGAGGACAAGTGGAGATGTTCACTGAACCTTGCATCTTATTAAGTAACTCAAAAGCCTTAATTATTGTCCCCAAACATAATAACAAAGATATAAAGTAGAAATCTCACTTTAAAAGATCAACTAATAATGGAACAAATTGAAGTGCGTGTCCATGTTATATAGAATTATAGATCATAGGATTAAATAATACTGCATTCTCTTTTTTCCGATTTAATTTAGAAATTAAAAAAAAAAAAAGGAGTATGCCGGAGCAGTTGGTGAATTTAACGTATTTTCTATTTCCGAATTCATATTCTAATAAATCAGTTGAAGCAAAAGAATTTGCAGGTAACCATGACAAGAAAGAATACATTGACTTGCTTTAAAAAGTACGTGTCTTTTTTTTATTTGAAAAATATAGAGATTATCTAAGCAAGCTCACAAGAGATTCAAAAAATATGACCGCCAAAGGCTCCTATACTTCACAACGGTGCTTTTCTCTTGGCATATTTTGAAGCTAAAATAAGGACAGGTGCTTTGGTAAAAACTTACATGTAGGGACGTCAAATGGGCTAGCCGGATCGGATATAGACGGGCCGAAAAGGGTTAATACAAAAACAGATAACATATTCGTCCTGACCTATATTTAATACGGACGAAAAATAGGTTAATCGATGGATGATATGAATATATCTATATTATGCATGGTTTTTCGAATATGATCATTTTTGGGAGAATTCCTAGTCTCCCAAACTTGAGGAACTCTCAATTTGAGTATTACAAATGTTAAAAGTTAAACTCGATGGTTATCCATTTTTTAAGTGGATAATATGGTTATGATCTATATTTGATAATTTTTAAAATTTTTATTATCCAACCAATTCTTTAATAGATAATATGAATGAATAAATATTTTTTTATCCATTTTACCACCACTACTTACGTGTAAGGTTACACCAAATAAATAAATACATGATCGTCTTTACAATTATGATTATCATTAAATTATAGTTAAATAATACATATTCTTCCCTTAATTTATTAATTAATCATAATAAATTAGTATAATTTGGTGTAAACAACAAAAAAGACAACAAAAACATATGCTTTCCTCTTGGCATATTTTGAAGCTTGAAGCTTAGGACAAGTGCGCGCGCTTGTCGGTTCACTGGCCATAGACCGTTGAGGGTGGCTTTGAGTCAGACCTTGTCTCTCTCTCTCTCTCTCAGCTTTATAAATTATCCTTTTATATTTATGCTCTTTTTCTTCTGTTTTTGTATATTCAAATGTGTCACTAGTTTCAAGCTGAAGAAAGCAGCAGAAATTTTTTATTTCGTTTGTTTTTCTTGGTTGGTTTATAGGATGTCAACGATTTGGATGAGTCAAGATGAATTGAATCGATAAATAAGTCAAAGCTCAACTATCATAGATCCAAATAGATTGGGTGCAAACTCAACCCGTCAAAATCTAAATTAAATTTTCTTTCTTATTCGTACCGATTATTTACATCAATGCAATAAATACATAACATATATCTTCAAAAATATGATTATCATTAAACTAAACTTAATTAAACATATTTTTACTTAATTTATTGCTTAACTATGATAAGTACTGTATGATGTAAACATCCGGTGCTAGTAAATTTTCGAATGTTGTCGAACGAGAGGGTTGGGTTACATTTAGATAGGTCAAAACTGGTAGAGTTGATGAATAAATCATACAGTAACTCAATTATCATTAATCAAGATGAGTTAGATCAATATAAGTTAAACAACAAGTCATAATCCAACCAGTCAAAATCAACCAAAATTTTCAGTTTCTTATAATTTCTTTAATTACAACAAAAACTACGCCTGTGTTCCGAACAAGTTGGTAAAGAGAATATTAAAAGGGTTTTCTTTTTTTTTTTTTTCCTTCAAGAGAAGGGGATGCGTGAAAATGTAGAAAAAGAATATACATAACAAACTAAACAAAAAGATGTCTTTCTATTCATTGATAAAATTCTTTTTATGGATCAATTTGGACTACCGGACATCATTAAAAATGTTCTTAGCTCTAGATAAGTTGGACAAATTATACTGTTTTGGGCTAAAATTGACTCTCTTACTTTGATAAATATCTGCTAAGAAAGATTCATCTTTTTATATGTTTGCACCAATTGGTTTATAGGCATTTTTCTCAGGTAAGTTGAGAAATTTCTCAAGCTGAAGTATACTACACTTCTAGTTAATGACTTGAGTGAACTGACAGAATGAGTTTTGTCATTGCAGACATATCACAGCTGCATTTCCTAGTTTTTGTGCTGTAACTGGAAATGAATACTGAAATTTAAAAGGCTCTCCGCGTTATAATCCCAAAAATAGAACACGCAAAGAATGCTATATCAACTATGCAAGTAGTCATATATTCAGAAATGAGAATGCTAATCAGCATAGAATGAGAATATGTGTAGGTCCAATTATCTGGCGCTTTGAGCTAACATGTCCTGTAAGTTCATTGGGTAGCACATAGGTGTGTGCAAGCCGGACCATACATTGTCAGCAAGGATCGCATTCACAGCATCAGTCGGATGAAATTGATCCCACCAGATATGATTTGAGGCGTTACTGCACGCCATTTCAGGGGAAATGCACAAGATCCAGCCTTTGTATTTGCCTAAACCACAGCAAGCCTCATCTGTTACATTGAAACCTGTAATGGAAATGATTAAAAGACGTTAGACTGGATATATGATGCGTCCTGTCAAATAAATCTTTATAGATCATACGGATGGATCACTCACCATAACGGTCGTGATTCTGAATGATGTCCATTGAACCTTCAAACGCGTCACAGAAGATGACAGTGGCACCAACAAGCTCTTCATTGAGTTCTGCTACGATATATCTAACTGCAAAGTTGAACTCGAGTATCATGTCGTTTATGGTTTCGACACACTGCCCATTCTTGCTATGGTATAGCCAAAGGTAATAAGGAGCACAGCCTATTGGAGCCAGTCCCATTACAACCACCTTTCTTACATTGGCATTGTACAAGTTCTGTTCCACCAGTATATACACATTAGATAAATTCCTAGAGAAAGCTTTAGAAAGCATTGCTGACATATAGAGAAGCAGAATAAACCTGTAGAACTAAAGAATCTTGGAAGAACAGTAGAGCAGTAGGGGGAATCGAAACATGTTAGAGCACGATAAAGTGAACAAGGTGTGAGCGGTAAAGTTGCAAATAGTGCTTGCATAGAATAGTTTGTTGCTGTTTCAAGATATCATCAAAGAGGAGAAAGGAAATGTGAATGGTTTAAGTGACAATAAAAGTTGAAAAAAATCATATTCTTCTTGTTCTAATTTTGCTAAATCAATTACTGGATTTAGCCGTCCCTAAATATGTAAATATTCAGTTTTTCTACTTTCTAGCCATATAGGTGTCTTACAATCTGTGCTAGATAGGGAGACATTATTTAACTTAGAACTCTAACAACAAAACTGCAAAATTCAATACATCTAAAAGTCACAGAAGACAATAAAAGGTGGTGTTAAGATAACACTGCACCTTAATCTCTTGTTTCATTGTCTGTGCCAAAAACTGGTTGAAGCTCCAGGGTAAGTAAACAGACTGAACATCAGATACATTCCGGAGATAGTAATGAATGTAGTCGTTGGTTCCAATCGAAATGTAGAACACAGAAGTTGATATCAGATCAGCTGTTGCTTCTTCACCAATGGTCATTATAAATTGCTGAATAGTATCAGTAACCTGCTCTATTTGTTGTGCAAGGGAGATATGCTGACCCTGCACAAGTATTGCTTATCTAGTTTAATCACTTATCTAAGCACTAAACTCATCAACTTAATATAAAATTAATCATACAGTTCCAGACTTCCAGTGTATAAGATTATTAAAACAGANTATATATATATATATATATAATGAAAATGTACCAATTCAGAGCCACTTGAGAAAATAATGCCAGCACCAGCAGAAGCATAATTAACACCAAGAATCATGTCTTCAATTGAACCAGCTTGCCCTAGATAACTTGGCACAAATGGTAACCCAAGACGCACAGCTGATATAATCAAATCCACAAAAAGAATGGAATTTAGCAATCTTTACCTAAAAATTCCACTAACTATAGCAAGAATTTATCAACCAATTCTCCAAAATAAATAATACTAATAAGAACAAAGACTTCACAAAGTCAGTACTAAAATTTTGAGTTTTACTTTTTAAGAGGATAAAAAGCAAGAAATTAACACGCTAAAGACTCATAAACCATTTCAGTGAAATTTGAACCATTTTTCTCACTGACAATCAATCACACAATTAACCAGCATCAATCCCAAAATTTCACTAATCCAACAGAAAAATTCTCAATATTTTCACAAAGCTCACTAACCCAATTGAAAAGTTCTTAACTTTTTCACAAATCTCACTGACCCAATTGAAAAATTCTCAACTTTTTTACAAAACTCACTAACCCAATTGAAAAGTTCTTAACTTTTTCACAAATCTCACTGACCCAATTGAAAAATTCTCAACTTTTTTACAAAACTCACTAACCCAATTGAAAAAATCTCAACCTTTTCACAAATCTCACTAATCCAATTGAAAAGATTCTCAATTTTTTCACAAAACTCACTAACCCAATTCAAGAAATTGAAAAAGAAAATTACCAAGATAATCGACAGGGATTCTTCCATTGCAGAAGCGTCCAGTAGGTTGATGAGTATCAAAATCACGTCCATAAGGAAGCCTATCGGCACGAGCAAAAGTTCCAAGAAAATTGTTAGTACCACAATCAACTGACGAATCACCAATTACGAACAGAGCAGGAACAAGAGGTTCTATAGTAGGAGGAAAAATCGGAGCTGGAGAGATTGAAAAAGAGGGCGAAAATGGTGAAAAATCAAAAACAGAATCATGGGTTATGAGATCTTGAGGGTAGATGAGAGCTAAGGTTTTTGGGTATGTGAAATAAATGAAGATGAAGATGAACAGAATCTTGATTGCAGAAAAATCCATTGTAGAAACAGAGAAAGAGTAAGAGAAAGAAGAAGAAAACCAGTATATAACTAACTGCTACTATTATAAACGGCTTTTGGCGGGGAAATGTAACCAACTGAAGGAGATGTATATATTAAAAATCTTTAAATTACCTTGTTATTATTGTTTTTTCTCCGGCAAATTGTCCTATTATTTTTACACCAATAAAATGTATTCTATTTTAGGAAAAAAAATTGTATTTTTTATTGACCACTAATGTCTTAAACAAGATTTTTTCCTAATGATTGGGATATGAATGAACAAAAAAAGTATTTTTTTTTTCTTCCTATACAATATTTGAAACTTATTTACCAAAATCGTCCTAGTTTTGTATGTTACCCACCCTAAATAAGGATTACTTACAAATTATATATAATCCATTATTAGTACCTTAAATTAAGGGATTCAGTTATATCTTTTTCCTTTTTTCTCTCCTCTCCTCTTTCCCATTCACTGCCGCCTCTCTCGTTAGTTTTTCTTTCTTTCTTCATCACTCTCTCTCTCACCGTCTCTCTCTCAATAACATTTGTGAATGATCACTTTGTTCCAGCATTTTTCTACTTATTCTTCGCACTTTACCATTTTGCCAAAAAATAATTAAAACTAGATTAAGCACAAAACAAATAACAGGTGGCAGTTATACTTCTTCTTAACCATTCCTTTTGTTGTCTTGCAAATAGGTACTCCTCCTAATCAACTGTTTAACAGGCAGCCCCCCAAACACTTCTTTCTTTCTCTTCAAAAAACCGCCCCACACAAAAGAAAAAGCAAAGCATCGTTAAACAGTATTGTAGTTAGAAAATGAAGTTGGAATCTGATGGATAAATTAAGGAAATGTATTTATGTATTTTATACTATTGTAGTTTATAGAAGTGCATGACGAAACGGAAGAGAATTAAATATATTTCCTTAATTGTCACCGTCATACACTATTTGATTTAGTTTTGCTATTGTTTTGTTTTCCTGATATTTATTTAGTAAACATAGAATATTATTTTCATTTTATTCTACCACTTACTAATGAAATAAAAAAAATTCACACGATAAATGATATTTTAAATGGCAACAACGACGTATAAATTTGTATGGTATAATAACATACAAATTAAAAATATATTTCGTACAAATTTGATACATCTACAACAATATATAAACTAAAAATAAATTCCATACAACTAATTATATAGTATACAACTTATTTACAACTTATCAACAACTTTTATACATTATTTCTACCTAGTTAAATATGACTACAATATCATACAACTTAAATACAATTTTCATACAAAATGTATACAATATGCCTTTTGTATGTATTTTGTAAGTGGTGTGTTTTTCTTCCTCTCTGATATTCCAATCAAAACTTCATTTCTTAATACAATTTTGATACATATTAACAACTTTATATAAAAAGATAGTATTGATAACTTAAATATAAATTTTATACACCGATTCATACATTATACAACTATTTTTCAACTTTCATACAATATTCAAATAAAAAAATAATAATATAACTACAATAGAATATAATTTACATACAATTATAATACAAATTTACTACAATTCCGTAAGTATATTGTATGTCATGTGTTCTTCTTCTTCCTCTTCGAGTTTCAATCTGAAATTCAGCCAAAATCAAGTATAATATTCACCAAACACCCTCAAAATTGAGATATAAACTCCAAACAATATTCTCAATTATTTGCAACAACACCCAATACAAACAAATAATGGTTTTTGAAAACCCAAATTTGATTTTAAAGCTTCAAATCTTTTTAATGGCTGTCAATGGTGGAGAGTCAAACACCTTCAAAATTTATTGATTGACAATTGTTACACCCCGTGTTTTTGTACGTGAAAGTACGTCGTAAGTCAATTGATGTAATCTCGTAAATGAGATCCTATTTGAAAGTATATGAAGTGATTTAATGTTGTTACACCCCGCACTTTAGACTTCACTGTCATTATAAGATTATCTAATGTAAGCTCAAAAAGGACAAAATCCTTCTACAAGAATAAGAAAGGTTAAGTTAACATGAATATGGGACTTGTTAATCATGATTTAAATGAGTTTAAAGTCATTATATGACTATATATGATGTTTGGATATAAAATATAAAGTTTGGGAAAAATCGAATTTAAGTTGCGAAAAAATCGAGCTAAGATTTGCCTTGTAGCGAGCTGTTTTGAGAAATTAAATTCGTAAGCTTTATGATGTCATTTTAGAACATATATCATACCAAAATGAAGGTATTTGAACCTAGTTTCCAATGGTCTAAACCATTTATTCATATGATATCGAGGGTAGAGAAATATGGATTTTTAAAGTAGGGTCGCCAAGTCACGTCGTCGCACTTTAGAGAAACTGTCAGGTTTATAGGCTAGGTTGCGAGGCAATTTTCTACCAATATATTGAGAGTTACAGGGAGATATTTATATGAAATTAAAGCCCCATTTATATAGTTTCTAACTCTGCAAACCGTTCGTCAATACGATATCGGTGTAGAGAGATATTTACGTTTTTGTGAGACTGCGTAGGAAGCCCCTATGGGACCCACTTGGTCGGGTCCCGACCTTCACTTATTCTTATATCGTTTTTGGGATAAGCTTTGCTCATTTTTCGTCCTCTTTCCAACCTCACACTCTCCAAACCCTCCCAAACAGTTCCCAAAAGGCTCCAAACAAATTCCAAAGAAATACACCATAATCAAATATCAAAGTTAGCCTAGTTGAAGAAGACAGTCTCTATGGTGTTGTCATGTGATTAAGAGTTCTTGTAAGCTAAGGGAAGCTTTGGTTTGAGATTTTCCAGATTGTTTAAGGTATGTATAACACCCTATTTGTTGGGATTAATCTTATATGNAATGAAAGAAACATATGAAACTTGAGATTGCAAGTGAAGATTAGCTTAAGTCACTTCTATGGTGACATTGAGGGATGTTATAAGCTAAATATATTCCAATTGGTATACGTATTCCAATTGGAGCTTGCCGCTCGTCGTGAAGTAGTTATGACTTGTTGTTGTTATATGGTGTCTTGTTACTGATAATTATATATTGCTGGATTGCTCTGGTCATTGTTGTTGGTACATGGTATTGTAGGAGGCTCTTATTACAGGGGAGATGCTGCCCAAATTTACATAAACAAGCTACTAGTTTAAGTTGCGAACTTAGCCTTTACTCAACACTGATTTTGAATCTCCTTATGCTATGGTAAACTGAGTTGAGTTGCTTGAAAAATTACTTTGAAGGTATTAATGAATCAAAGGAGTTAAGGTATGTTAAGTATATCCCTTCTTTCCTTTTGGCATGATCCATACGATACAAACGAAACGAGCAAACGCGTAACTTTCATAAATGCCTCTTTTCATAGAAGCGCTAGGAGTGCATATGTTGTTGATTCCACATGTATCTTATTATTATATCTTCTGTTCATAGGTCTCAAAAAAATAGGTAAGTTGATAAAGTTTATCCGAGAGATCTTATTGACTTACTTCATTATGCATTCCATTCATTTATATATGTACATTGACCCATGACCAGATGGCGTTATATACACGTATATTATATGTATATGGGATATGGGGAGGGTTATGGCGTTATATACGTACCACCACCTGATCAGCTAGCCTACGTTGATGATTTCGCCCACAGAGGCTGATATGATATGATGGGATGCCCTCAGAGACTTAATGATATTATGTACGCACATAACTATGCATGATGTGATATTTATACGCACATGCATGGCACTATAAACGTTTCATGATTCACAGAGTTGTTCAGACTTACGGGTTGAGTTATTTACTTCATGTTTCTTTCATGTCTTTTATATACTACTTTCATGCCTTACATGCCCGTAGGTCCCGATAGACAGGTTGAGAGTCCTCCTAGTAGGCTATCAGCTCAGCGAAAGGTGTTGGAGCACTCCCCTTGCTCCGGAGTTGCCTATTTAGTCAGTATGATTTGGACATGTATTGATTGGTATGACAGAACCTTGTCCCGACCATTATGACGTATATGTACTCTTAGAGGCTTGTAGACATATCCCATATATATGGATACTTGTATGACCTTGTCGACCTATGTTTTGAGTGTACAAATGATCATGTCGGCCTTATAGGCCCGTATGTCACATGTATAAGTTTCTATATCATGTTGGGTTGTCCTATCTAGTATTCCCATATGTTTTATTCTGGTTATCTTATGACGCTATTTCTGGCCCATTTACCCATGATGATATGATAAGAAAGATACGTTATGTTGGTGCTCTATTAGGTAAGGCACCGGGTGCCCCTCGTGGTCCATTGGTTTGGGTCGTGACANAGAGAGAGAGAGAGAGAGAGAGAGAGAGAGAGAGTAGGCAAGTATAAAGGGATAAGGAAATAACTCATATTCCTTATTCAATTCCTAATATAAAATGATACTCATTTAAAACTTATTTGTATATAATTGGTAAATTGTATATGGTCATGTAATTAAATTGAAACTTGATTAGGGTGGGGGAGGGTAATAAGGTTTCAAATAGTGTATAGGAAGGTAAAAATCTCAACAAACAATGATGTTGATCTTTACATAAATAGCCGGTCCAATTCACTTTTTTACTTTTCTGGTAAGTATACATAGATTATACGATTATACACATATTATATATGTTTCTATTTTAGGTAAAAAGTTTTATATTTTTTATTGACCCCTAATGTCTTATACAAAATTGTTTCCTAATGACTGGGGTATAAGTGAACAAAAAATGGGGTTGATCTTTACATAAATAGCCGGTCCAATTCACTTTTTACTTTTCTGATCAGTATACATAGATTATATGATGATTATAGGATTATACATGAATTATACATATATTATACATTCGCTGATTATTTTAAATTTAAACACTTGTATTGATGACTATTTAAGCTAATTTTCATTAAAAAAAAAATATGTTTAGCTCAACTTGTCCAAATCTGGATAGGTTAGATGCATTGATTATAAATTATAATTCAACTATGAATAATACGAAAAGTATGACATATATCATAATATGCAAATTAGTTGCAACACCGTTACAACTCAAACATTAAAAGTAATGTATTCGATACAAAATCTTATATGTATCTCTTAAGGAGTAATAAATCTTGAAAGAATTTTGATATTATAATTTGATATTTCTTTTAAAATACTCCTTTTATTTAATATGCTTTCTATTTGAAAGAGAATTTATATAAAAAAAAATCCTCAATATAAATATAATTCTCTAGCATCATTTATATTTAAGTTTCAACAAGTTAATAAAGTGACACATAATTCATCATACAATACAATGATAACTAATTATTTGTAAATAGTTAATAGCTAATGCTGAGCTATTAAATTAAAAAGTATTGTATCTCATAAACGTGAAAAAATAATATTTAGAAAAATAATTATAAAAAGAATTATGGACTATTATATAATAAAGACATAATAAAAGTTAATAAATAAATACTTTTTAAATGAAAGATTTATTTAAAATTTACTATCATAGCAGTCTTAACGTGCAATAATTTTTATTTCTTCAATGCAACTTGCTCCATTGCGACCCAAAAAAATTGATGAATCTCCCAAGGTTTTAATATCCTCGTCCTTGAATTTACCTTTGGTTATATCTAATTCAGATATTTTAAATTTAAAGCTCTTAAAAGTACCATTTGGATCCTCACGTATGCTTTTGATTGCATATCGAGTAGCAAGTAATAGTGCACCAGATAACTCAACTAGGTAGAACTGAATTGAAGGCGGTTTAAACATATCATCTTCAAGCTCAGCAAGCAAGCGTGTTTGTACACTTGGTTGAGTAATGCTAGGCCCTGCAATATCATAAGCCCATACTTCGCCACAGTAACTCACGAAATAAAATTGGCCCTTACAAAAAATCATATTGCAGACTCCACCATCAGTAACAACATCAATCTCTGTCCAATTAAGATCTCCGGGTCGCCAAAAAGCCAAAGAAGAACCTCCTCCATAATAGTGCACCAACAACGTATAATCTAATGTAAGAGATGGATTTGCAGATAAGATAGCTTTGTCTATGCAGTGCCAACGCTTTCCTTCACGTGCTCTTTCGAGATAGTCGAGACCATGAAAAGACAGTAAATCTTTTCGGGAGGAAAGCTGTATTTTTATTCGAGAAAAAGGATGCAACAAGTTCATCTCCCCCGTATTATTTGCCACGGTGCAAAGCCATCCCACGGATGGTAAACACTCTCGTCCTCTAGCTTCCGGGAGAAATATGCGTGAAACTTTCTTCTTGGAAAGAGAGTAAAATTCTCGATAATCGTCATCTTTGGCACCCAACATAAGCAATGGGACTTGGGGCGAAAGCACATCAAAATTTTGCTTTGAAGCAGCAGTTCGCCATGAGGTACAAACGGCACCAAAAATAATAAAATCTTCAATTACTTTAACACGCTTTGCAATCTCAGTAATCAGATCGATGGGCAACTCTGCCCAGTTCGCCATAGTGTTGAGGATGTGAGGCTTCTCTATTTCTAGGGCAAGGAAACAGAACCGCTTCCATAGCAAGACAAAAGAATATAAGGACATTTATATAGGTGAGCAAGCAAATTCCTATATTGACATGGATTTTGAATATGAAATAGGGTTTTTTACAGGCTTATCCTTTTCTAACTTTATTTTAAAAAATATCATCATTTATTGTTTATTTCATAAAGAATTTTTTTTTCATTATTAACATATTATAAAAATTAAGCTCAATATTTAATAAGTTAACTGACTCACGAATAACAAGAAGTACTTTTTTTGTCCATCTCTATTCTCCCTTTCCAACATTCATCTTCTTCACTCCATTTTCAAAAATTTAATGCATATGTGAATGCCACCTAAATTCAAGATATATTGATTTATATGTCTTTTATACTTTGTATATCAAGTATCACTTTAATGCAAAATGTATTTTTATGTATATAATTATTGTATATTTATTTGTGAAGTGCCATTTTATTTTAAGATATATTTTTAATGTATATTTCAAATATATTTTATATGTCAAGTACCATTTTAATCTAGGATATATTTTTTATGTATATTATTTTGTATATTTATATGTCATCTTAATTAAATTTAAGATATTTTTTTTTATGTATATTTCACATGTCTAAGTGTCATCTTAATTGAAGATGTATTTTTTGTATATTTTATATATTTTAATTCAATGTATATTTTTTATATATACGTTTTGTATATATTAACATATATTATTATCGAAGTAAGATCTTTATGTTAAGAAATGAAGAAAGAAGGAAGAGAAAAACTTAAGAAAGATAATTAAAAAAAAAACGAATGAAACAAATTTAGAAAATATATTGGCTTCAGCAGAAAATAAAATTAAAAAGATGAAGAAAAAGAAGGAAAGCTAATAGATAAAGAGAAAAAAAGGCATGATTTTTATACAAAGAATTCTTGACTTTCCATTCAAATTGCTTATGTTTAGGGATTAATAATTAATATTCCTATTTTAATGGAACCGTGTGCTACAAATATAAATATTTTCCTGCCACAACTGTAATATTGAGTTTCCTGTTAAGAATTTATTATATTTCTTTTAAACTGTGACAATTATGTAAAGTTGCCCTTCTGAATATCAATGACAAGCCCAAATTATTTCTCATTTAGGAACTAGGAATTGGACTCGGCGTGCAAGTAAAATCCTATATTGACAAGGATTTTGCCGATGACAAGCCCAAAAAATTCGGAACTAGTTGGATATGGAGTCGAATTGTACAACTAGTAGGATAAAGTTCACCATTAGCCGTTTTTAGAGTATGGGTAGTTATTTTTTCTGCTTTTCAAAAAATATTGTTGCTTTTACTTAAAAATATTTTTTTATCCCTAGAAACTTGGCCAAACACCATAACTTAAAAAAAAAAATGCTTTTGGCCTTAGAGAAACTTGGCCAAAGACTATAGTAGTGAGTATTGTTAATTACATTTGAATTCACGGCTATCTTATAATTACCAATTCGAAAATGGGCTAACTCGTGCAATGTTTACTTGAGACTATGAATCGTGGCGCAAAGGTCTAACATGAGTTGAGACGGCTCACATAATTATCATTAGAATTGAGAAATGTATATTTTTAACTGCCTCCAAAATTAATAGCCGACAATGTATATTTTTTGTATATATGCGTGTTATATACAAAAAATATACATACTTTATATAATTTTCGGAGCAAATACATTAATTTCGGCCGGCCATTTTGTATTTTGCCTTAAATCACACAACCCAAAACATGGTATATCTACTTGCATTCTAGCTCGGTTCGATAAGGAAAAGGGAAAACAAAATCCAAAAGGATAAGTGTATTAGATTTCTTAGTTATGTGTTTTCGTTCATATTGATTTTATTTCTTTCATTGTAAAAACTTATGTAAGTTCACTGATTATTTAATGCTTTTACTGTGATATTTTGATTGAACATAGCTTAAGTTACAGTACATTTTTGTTTTTCTACTGTTGTAGAACAGCATTGACGGAAATACTCAAGAAAACATGGTCCTGGATAGGGCGAACAAGCTCTATAGAAACGTTATATTTGAGAACTGAATACCAAGGAGGCATATTAAGTTAAAGACATAATATTTATGAACTGAATATCATAGGTGTCACAGCCCAAATTAACCCTCCGTAAGGTGTCGTAATGACACCTAATCTTTACGACTAGGTAAGTTTAATATTACAAAAAAAATGTAAAGAAAACACAACATTTTAAAGATAAACAGCATATTGTGAATAGCCAAGAGTAGTACCGCTCGGCATATACAAAATAATTTTTCAAGACCCGGAATATCACTAAGTCACAAGCTGCTATAATCTATGTAGCTCTATACAAAAGTCTGAAGATAATAAAGAAAGTCTCTAGGCGAGGGAGTAGAAGGGGACTCCGAAGATCTGCGGGCGCAAGCAGAAGTACCTTGACGTCTCCTAGAATCAGCAGCACACACTAACCCCGAGGTTGATAGCTCGCACCTGGATCAACATACGAAAACATGTGCAGGAAAGGGGCATGAGTACGCCACAATGATACCCAGTAAGTGCCAAGCCTAACCTCGGTCGAGTAGTGACGAGGTCAGGTCAAGGCCCTACCGGAGTAAATATAATAAATTAAACAGTAAAAGATATAAGTAAAATTTACGGTAACACAGTTAAAGAAATTCTCGAAAATTTAACAGTTAAGGGAGCCCTCGGCTCAGAACAAGGTAAACACAATGGAGAATCTTCCGGGATACCGTCTCGTAGTTCCGAATGAATATGCAGTACATGCGGATCTCCAGGAATACGTCCGTAGTCCCAAAGTAAATATGCAGTGCTGGGGGGTCTCCCGGAATATGTTCATAGTCCCAAAGTAAATATGCAGTGCTGAGGGATCTCCCGGAATACGTCCGTAGTCCCAAAATAAATATGCAAGACAGGGGGATCTCCCGGAATACGTTCGTAGTCCAAATTTAAATATGCAACGCAAGATGAAATAGCAGGTATGGTATCGAGTTATACAGTTTATACTGAACACAGATAAGGAAAGTAGAGACTTAACTAAGCATGACGCACAAAATGTCAAATAGGCAGTTAAAACACGTAAGCATGCTTCTCTAGTCTAAGCTAAATAATTAAACGTATTAGTGCAATTTAATAAGGGAAAAATAGTTTATGATTTAGAAATGAAAACCGAGATTTTTTTTTGCAATAATAGCCCGTGTACGTACTCGTTACCTCACGTACACGGCGCTCACACATCAATTAATATCAAACATCCTAAGGGGAAAGTCCCCAACACAAGGTTAGGCAAGCCACTTACCTCGAACCGCTCAAATCAACTCGATATCACGTTCTTGCCACGAGTATCCGACTCCAAATAGCCCGAATCTATTCAAATTAATTGCATAATATAAATATAATTACAAGTAACTAATTTAGCTAATTAATTAGAAGCTAAAGCATGAAAATAGGAAAAACGCCCAAAACGTTTCCCCGGGCCCACGACTCGGAATTGGGTAAAAATTATAAATTATGAACACCCATTCACTCACGAGTTCACTTGAACAAAAATCATCTAAATCCGATGTCAAATTCCCATTCAAATCTCAGATTTTCGATTAGGGAAACCTTTTCCCCCATTTCAAAACTTCTACTCTCAAATTCCTTAATTAGACGAGAAAAACAATGATAGATTAATGTATTATGATCAAAATAGAGTTAGAATTAGTTACCTAATAGTTCTCCTTCAAAATCTCTCGAGAAATCATCTCCCACCGAGCTCTAAATCGAATTTTGTGTTATGAAATTTCAAACCCTCGAAATCCCCTTTTCTTCCCAGCGATCCTCGCATCTGCGCTTATGGGGCCGCATCTGCGGAAAAATTATTGCATGTGCGAAAGTCACTTATCTGTGCTGGGGCCGCATCTGCGGGCATTTCTCGCACCTGCGGTCCAAACGGCGCATCTGCGCATTTCAATAAAGCAGCCAGGCTCCTCACTTGTGTCCTCCCTTCCGCAAGTGCGAAACACCAGAACCAGCAAAGGCACTAGATTTTTCCCAAGTCCAAATTCATTCCGTTAAGCATCCAAAACACACCCGAGGCCCCCGGGACCTCAACCAAACATACCAACCAATCCTAAAATACCATAAGAACTTAGTCGAGCCTTCAAACCACATCGAACAACAACAAAATCATGAATTAAGTACGGATTCAAGCCTAAGGATTTAGAATTTTCCAAATTCTACAAATGACGCTGAACCACATCAAATCTAGTCCGAATGGACTCAAATTTTATACACAGGTCACAAATGACACTACGAACCTACATCCACTTTCGAAATTCCATTCCGAGCTCGATATAAAAATTTCTACTATCGGCCGAAATCGCCGAAAAACTAATTTTCGCCAATTCAAGCCTAAATCTACTACAGACCTCCAAAATACATTCCGGACGCGCTCCTAACCCCAAAATCACTCAACGGAGCTAACCGAGTCAACAAAATTCTATTCCGGATCCTTCTTCACACAGTTACGACTACGGTCCAAACTCTAAGGTTTAAATTCACAACTAGGGACTAAGTGTCCCAAAACTCTCTGAATTCCATAACCAATCACTCCGGCAAGTCCCAATAGCGGAAACAAATGTGGGAAAAACAATTATTAGGGGATTGGGGTTCAAATTTTTAAAATGACTGGCCGAGTCGTTACACTGCGGCTCCTGCACCTACGTCCTCCCTTCCGTAGGTGCGAAACACCAGAACCAGCAAAGGCATCAGATATTTCCTAAGTCCAAATTCATTTCGTTAAGTATCCGAAACACACCCGAGGCCCCCGGGATGTCAACCAAATATACAAACCAATCCTAAAACACCATACGAACTTAGTCGAGTCTTCAAACCACATCGAACAACACCAAAATCATGAATTAAGCACATATTCAAGCCTAAGGATTTATAATTTTCTAAA